CCAAGGTGCCTCTGGGTGGGTCTGAACCACCACCAACGTTTTGGCTAGTAGTGAAGTGTGTAACCGTTTGCACCACTCATTGAGCCCTAAGCACATGTTGAATGAGGGTGAGAAGATGAGGTGGCACCTGGAGGCCCCTTTGGGCAAAGATCAGAAATAGCTGCCTTGCTTGAAGAGAGGGAAGAGCTAGTGGATGGCTGTGAGTAGCAGGGTGATACAGTTAGAAGCAAAGTATATTTTAGCTGTAGTATGCAAATTATTAAAATTATTTGCTCTTAGGAGAACTAAAATTGGATGCATTGGTTGGTGCTAGAAAAAATGGACAAGTAAAATCTGAGTTATGTTTTGGAGGGGGAAACAGACAGCTATTAAAGTTTCCAACTTAAGATGGTTCCTTTGGCTGACTATAAATCTCCTATTTACCTTTCTAACCATTTTCTAGATTATTAAGGTGCTCTTTAGGGACTATAGGTCATGATAGTCAAGCACTGAGATGAGCATTTTTCTTTATAGACTCCCAAGAAGAGTTACTGGAAATCCCCAAGCTCTTCTAAAGGTGCACCAAGAAGGCTCCCTCGTACACCACAGGTTCCACGCTGCACTCCAGAAAGGCTGCTGGAACCTCCTGCAGAAATGACACCTGCAAAACAGGCAGTGTTTAAGGAGTCCTTAAAGCACTCTTCCTCATATGGCTGTGATTCACCATCTGAACTAACAGTAACTCCTCAAAAAGGATACTCACGGGCAGAAGGACTTGCCTCTTCTCTTGAAAAGAAGACACGGAGAACTCCCAGAAGGCACACTGCTCAGCCACCTGAGTTTCTGCAGACTTGTGTTTGGTCACAGTCAGTACCTTCCAGTCCAGAAAGCACCTCGTGTCCAGCAGCCCAGATGCCACCAACTGTCCAGACCAGGAGTGGATGTCTGACTCCCATCAGACACTCCCTTAGAATACCCTCGAACTCAGCAGACTTGGGGTTGCCGGGAGAGACGGCCTTTGTGGGCACACACCAAAACCAAAAAAGCCCAGGTCCCCAGGTCCCTGGAGCTTCTCAGGCAGAGGAACCAGCACAGACAGTAAAGGAAAAATCTGCCAAAGTCCCAGAGAGACCAGAAAATACACCTCTGATTTACTCCCCACCTATTTCTCCAAATGAACCATTTAACTCTCCTTCATGTGATATTTCCAAGAAGAGCCCATTCTGGAAATCTCTGATGGACTGTCCTCCCCCTGGAGAACTGGATTGGAGAGTGCCCCAGAAATCATCCCATGTGGCCACATTGCACTCATGTTCTGTTCCCTCAACTCCTCCCAAAATCTCACAGATAGACACCCTCCCTCCTCCATCCCCTTCTAAAATTGGGAAAAGGTATAGAAATACCTCTGATCCTGAAAGAAGCTTCCCAGAGTGCCAGCCTAACACCTTGGGTGTTCCTGTGGTTGGCCTAACTGGCAAACCAGCCGCCATCACAGACTCTAGGAGGGACCAGAAGGAAGGGAGGCTCTCTCCTCAGTCTTCTCCTGAAAGACATAGTTACCCTCAGGCTGGTGTAGGGAGAGACTGGTATATGTCCTCCCCTTTGCTTATTGCAAGTGACACAGAGTACCTCACCCTCCTTGAGGAAGATGAAGACTATGGCAGTGATAACTTGAAAAATAACATTTCACCAGAACAAGGTGAGGCATTAAGGACCGTGGTTGCTGACAAGCAGCCTTCTCTGCCTCACCAGGGGATTCCTCCGTCTCTCCCTTCCTCTGTGCCCAGCTCTCCCCTGGTACCTTCCTGCGGCCCGCGCCGCACGGCAGACAGAAAGCAGGGCCGGACTGTAGCACACCGAGAGAATCCGCAAGCTTTAACTCGGCCTTTGAAAGCCTCTGCCAGCCCACAGACCTACGAGGTTGAGCTGGAGATGCAAGCTTCGGGCCTCCCCAAGCTTCGAATTAAAAAGATAGACCCCAGCTCTTTGTTAGACATTGAACCCCTAAGAAAAGAGGATGGCTGTCTGGGAGAGGAGAGTGCCTTCCCTGGTCTCAGCTTGGCCAGGGGCAGTAGGCCTTCAGGCAAACCTGAAACCAGCTACATGTCACCCCCTTGCCTCCGTTCCTCGCACAGCACGCCTGGCAAGAGCGGGGGACAAACTTACATCTGCCAGTCCTGCACCCCAACCCGCTGCCCCTCTAGTACCTCCTCTCCTTTTCAAGCAGAGGTTGGGGTTCCTTGGACACCATCTCCCAAACACAGTGGAAAGACACCTCCTGACACAATTAAAGACTGGCCCAGGAGAAAGAGGGCGGTGGACTGCAGCGGGAGCAGCTCCGTGGGGAGGAGCGAAGTCAGTGCAGACCTTCCGGCGAGCGGGCCAGGGCTTGAGCTGGAGGGGAAGGAGCGAGGGCTTGAACTCGCTGTCATCAAGACTCGCATCCTGGGGGATTTTGAGCTTGAGGGGGTATGTCAGCTGCCAGACCACTCACCTCCAAGGGATAGTGTGCCTAAGGCTGAGGACGCCTTCTCATGGGGACAGTTTGGATTGGGCTCCAGGAAGAGACTCCGTTCTGCCAAGGAAGAAGCTGAGTGTTGGGCCAAAAGAGTCTGTGACAGCCGGAGAGAAGACTCACGAGCGAGTGGGGAGAGGTCTCCGAGTACAGGTGCAGGGCAGCTCACCTCCACGGGGGATGAGGAGGTCTTTGTTTCAGGTGAGCTTGCTTTTGAAACTCATCTTCCTCATGGTTTCTGGTGGGAAGCATGTTCGGGGAAGAGGCTTTTAGGAGTTACTTCTTCAGGAGGCCAGGGACACTGCTTGGCTGTATTGACTGTGTGGTATCTTTCTAGGCGCCACACCACCCCCTGGCTGTGCTGTGCGGAGCTGCCTTTCTGCCAGTGGTCTCCAGGCACTGACCCAGTCTCCGCTGCTGTTCCAGGGAAGAACACCTTCCTCTCAGTGTAAAGACACCAGAGGTAATCTGTTTGTTAAAGGTCCTGGAGACCATCACCAGGATCAGACTCACCCTTTGGGGGATGCCCGAGGGTTAGCTCAGGCCTGCCAGGCAAATCGCTATTGGAAGAGTCTTAGGGAATGCTGGAATAATTTTGTTAACAGATACTCCCCTCAAACTCTTACTAAAATACTTTGTCTTCGTGAAGATGGTGATAGAAGTGGTCCTACTGCAACATATTGCTGGCCTGTGGCAATCAGAATCTAAAAGAAGAGAATGCTTTGAGTAACAAGAGTGATGGATGCATGTTTGGAGCCAGCGTTTCCCCACAGTTGGTTAATGCCCATGTTTTCGGGTACATTCTGGCTGTTGAAATCGGCCTTCAGACCCTAGGATGCCCCTTCCTCCACCCTACCTGGGAGAGAACGGGATCTGGCTTGTTAAGGGCACTGGTTAGAGAGGTTTCCTTCTGCCAGGACTGAGGGGGAACTCAGGAAGTGGTAGGAGGTGAAAGGACTGCCTTCAGGGCTTTCTTCCCTCAATAATACAATGTAAATCACACAAAGCAGCATAAACCCTACAGCTCTGAGACCTAAAAAGAACTTCAACCCACAGGTACTTTGCATTTTCACAATTGCTAACTGCTGTCAGCTGGGTGCATAATCATACAGGGTGGAGGCGGTAAAGTGTAGGTAACATAGGAGAGGAGGGGGTAACCTGCAAGCAATGCTGTAACCCTCCCGCAATCTAAGCCTGCTTTCGTGTGGTCCTCAATTACTTCCTGCATTCTAAATCTTTCTGCCTCTTTCCAGATGAGGATGTGGACGTATTTCCCTCCACTGCGGAAGAATCTCCTTTCAGCCGAGCATTCTCAAGAAGACGCCCCATCGGCAGAACTTACACACGGAAGAAGCTGATTAGCTAGTTAGGACGGAAGCAGGTTGTGGGACTTGTAATTACAAACACTACTGAGCCGATGCATTCCCTAGACCAGGAGAGTGGCTGTTTCTCTGGATGTGTAAGGATTTCAAACTTTTACCATAAATGAATTCTTAACAGTGTGTCCAGAAATTCAGTTCATCTGACCTGGGCCTTACTGATTCCCGAATGTAACCCTAGGGCTTCCTTCGCAGAAGCAGGAATAACCAGAGCTTATTAACAGAATTGAGGAAGTTCCAAAGATGAAGGCGAAGTCAGCCAGGTCCTCTTTTACCGTGGTCAGTTTTCAGAGTCCAGCTAGAATGCCTTAGGGTTTTTTAATTCCCCTCATGGAATCTGTCCAGCCCCAGAACCTACCCCCACCACACCTGCCACTCATTAGGAAGATTGGGAGGAGGGGTGGATGATGGTGTAGCTGGTGCTCTAAATCAGAGGCAGCTGGGAGGTCAGGAAACGGAACTGTACCCCTGGGATTCCAGCCCCAGCCCAACAGTGAGTGACCCTGGGCAAGTCAGGGGACCACCCTGTGCCTCCCTCACTTGTGAAATGGGAGAAAGGACCCCTACACGGTTTCCCTTGCAGAACGGCTAAGGCTTGGACGCTGTGACATGGGGAGTGCTTTGTAAACTGTGAAGCACCAGCCACATACATGGATATGAATTTCATACTGAAGACTGCATCAGGGGCAGCAGAATGGATGTTTTGCATTCCCTACGCAAGACAATAAAATCGCCTCTGGCTGCGTTTCTGTTCCACATTCCAGCCTGAGGTTAACTGTGACTGGTCCAGTTCTAACGGTTTCTAGAGTCAACCGCACTCCAAGTCTGCCCTGTGAGTCAACCAATTCACAGGTAGTCCCACCCACTCATGGGGGACCCTGGAGTGCCCCTTGACCAGCTTGCCATTCACTCTTGGCCAGGGGCCTGGCTAACAGTGGGGGCTATTCAGAATCATCTCATTCTTTAAAAAGCTTTCGAGCCTATTGTGTTCCAAGAAGCCATTCTTCCCAAATCTGATCTGTACTATCGTCTTACAAATCAACCTAAAAGTGAAAACTACCATTCCTTCCTTTAGAGATTATTCTTGTTTATTATAAAATGGCTTTAAAAAAAAAAATTCTACAAGTGTGCTAATGAGTTTCCCAGCTCCCCCTGTCTATATATAAGACCATTTAGACCACAACCCTGCTGCCACTGACCATTTTGTGACCAGCCTCGGCTGAAGCCCCAACCTATGGGCATCTACTACACTTACGCTCCACACCAGGCTTGTGCTTCCAAAACTCTTGAGCAAACCGAAGAAAGGTGGCAATCAGGTGCTTAAAGGAAGGGAGTGGCAGTTTGCATATTGTTTTAGAAACTTGAGTCCAGTTCTTCTGGGCTATGGCCCAAATTTGTTGACCCCAATTAGCATAAAGATCTGGATGTGGACTTAGGGTATGAGGTAAGGACTGTCCTTCACAGAAGCAAGATGGGTGGCAATAGCACCTTTCAGCAGGATCGGAACCTCCCTCCAAGGTGGGGTTTGCTCAAAGCCTACAAGGGATTTTTCCTGACATCAATCATCCCTGGGCTGGCTCTCCGCAGCTCCCGCCGGGGCTTGGCCAGGGGCCCGAAGTTCCAGGGCAGACCCCCCTCAGCCCCCGGCAGCCCCCGCCCCACCAGGGCCTCGGCTGCCTCCCGCTGCCTCAGCTCCTCAGGACAGCCCTGCTCGTCACTACACAGGCTGGAGCGCTTCCACGTCAGCGGCAGCGGGGCTCGGACCAAGTCCCGCACCTCCTCCCGGGTGCGGGGGACACCCTCAGTGAAGGGGGGCTGCCAGGGAAGCTCGGGGGCTGGGTGAGGCTCTTCTTCGTTTCCAGGGGGCTGTCTGTTCTCCAGGCACAGGGTCCTCTTCTCCCCACCTGTCACCGAGAATGCCACCCTTGTCAATGATGGAGGTACCAACACCTTCCCAATGCCCCAGCACAACAAGCAACCTGTGAAATGACCCAATAAGAGCTGAAGTGAGGGTGGTCTCTAAGCTTTCCCCAAGACAGAAAAGAATGAGCCTGGCTTCAGAGCAAGGCAGGGCAGAGCAAGTGACACCAGATACGAATTACCCCTGCTCTGGCCTGCAGCATTCGAACCACTGAGCTTCTGTTTCAGTTCCTGGTTCATCCACATGTGGCGGCCCAGTTCCTTCTCCAGCGCTTGGATCCTGGTCTCATATTGCCTCTTGCTGTCTGCTAACCCTTCACCGAGATGGTCTACAGTGGAAAGACAGAAGAGCGGTGAGGGCTGTGGACAGGGCAGGACAGGGCCCGTGGGTCCAGCCGGGCCTCACCTCGGCTCTGCTGCAGGAGCAGCTGCACACTCTGCTCGTGCTCCTTCTGCTGCAGGGTCAGCTGGCGGTCCATCTCCAGGCGCTGCCGCTCCAGAGCCACCTCTAGCCGGTAGACCAGCCGCTGCTGCTCCTCGAGCTGCATCTCCAGCTCCGAGAAGGCGATCTGCTGCTGGTGCTGCTCCTCACGAAGCGTCACCACCTGAGCCAAGGCCAATCCACGCTCAGCCCAGCCACTGGCTGTCTTCACCCAGGCAGTCCTCAACCAGGGACGGCAAATAGTTGGCACCCTTGCCACCGCTGCCCCCCACGGCAGACATTAATAGTAAATCGCGTCTTCCCTGCTGAGCCTCAGATGCCTTCTCAACATAGTGTCCTAGGCAACGATTTCTAAATGGTCAAAGAGTTGGCTCTCAGGACGAAACTGATTTGCCATCCCTGCCTCAAACCCTTTCCCAGCTACACATTACTGAGCTTCTGGGCAGAGCCTCAAGCTATGGAATTTCATTAGAGCTAGGGTTTCTCAACCTCATCAAATGCGGGGCTAGATCTTCACTGTGGAGGGCTTTCCAGTGCATTGTAGGATGTTTAGCACCATCCCTGGCCTCTACCCACTACACAGATGTCATAGCACACATCCCCCACCACCGTAACAACCGTGTCTTTGGCCACACGTCCCCTGGGAGGCAAAGTCAGCCCCCATGAAGCACCACTGATCTGGGCAGGGGCCGCCCTGGAATTTGCCCATCAGACTGGAAGGGGAGGCGTGAGGACATTGGGTCTTAGTTTCATTACGTAACACAGGCTCTAAAGAGGAGAGTCTGAGGCAGCCCTGGAGACAAGTAGGTCTCAATTTTGTGATTCTGTCTCCAATCTGGGAAGAAATGGGGCATTCGCTGGAGCTACCATCAGACAGCTCCCCTGCACGAGTTCCGGAAGGAGGAGGCAGAGGGTTTGTAGGCAAGTGACCCACCTTGTCAAAGTACTTGCAGAGTAGTGCTCTGGTCTCTGAGGATGAGAGATAGCTGAGCTTGGCCATAAGGTTCATCTCGCACTGGGACAGCAAGGAGGCTGAGGCCCGCAGCACCCGCTGGCGGCACGTGATGGCCTCGTTCTTGTACTCAATGGCAGCATCCAGGGCTTCGATGGCCTCATCCAGCTGGAACAGCGTCCGCTCCTCCTGCGGGGACATGGCCATGCATGGGGAAGGTACTGGGCTTCCACCACCTCAGAACACCTGATCCCTGACGACAAGGCCTAGGCAGACACGGGGCACTGCAAGAGTCAACACGTGGCTGCAAAATGTGCCTTTACATGTCCCCTCATCCTGAGAAGTAAGCGGGTGTGTCAAAAGAAAGTTTCCCTCTGCCCTCAGTGGCAGGAACAGGGAAGCTCTGGTCTCTACCCAACCCCAGGGTGAAAGCTAGGCACTGCTAAGAGGCTGCTTCTGAGGTGCACAGCCCTCCAACTGACCTGTACACAGAAAGCCCACGATACACACCAGACAGAAGACATGGCAGGGTGTGCAACAGGCTCCGTATAGTCTCCTGGGGTGAGTTTATGTTAGCCTAGGCTTGCTCTGCTGCTCAGGGGAAGCATGTTTACATGGACCATAAGGTACATTAAGTGTGCTCAACACACTCCCACACAGGAAGTTGAGCTGTGTATGCATGGGGTCTGGTGAGAATGAGTCCAGGCTCCAGCTCGAAGGGAACTGAAAGGTCAGCTGGGGCTAACCCCTTTGTGTCACAGACAAGGGGCTAAAGCAGGGGCAGAAAGGCCAGTCCAGCATGCTCACCAACCCCAACCCTCCTGCCTTCTGGACCTAGTACACAGGAGGATGAAGGAGGAAACCTGTGTCCAATGGCAGCAAGGCTCAGCACCCCATAGAGAGCCAGAGCCAGCAGGCTAAGGAGTGCAGACAGACAGATGTTGGTGGCCCAGGGTGTACCTCAGGAGACAGCAGGCTGCCCTGCCTCAGCTTGCTGTCAATCTCCAGGCGCTGCTTCAGCAGCAGGTCCTTCTCCTGGCGCAGGTTGTCGATCTCACCACGGATCTGCTGCTGGTTGTGGGCACTGCTCTGCCGCAGCTGCCCACTCTTTTCGGACAGCTCCTTCTCGAGGTGCTCCAGCCGGCTGGATACTCGCACGATGTCCTCACTGAGGGCCTGGGGCAGCGCCGCCAAGGAGGGAAAAGCAGACACCATCTGTCATGGTTTGAATTATGTCCCCCAAAAAATGTGTGTATCAATTTGGCTAGGCCATGATTCCTGGTACTATTTTCCTGTATGTTGTAAACCTGCCTCTGTGATGTTAATGAGGGAGGACGGGTGGCAGTTGTGTTAGTAAGGCAGGACCTGATCTGTAAGACTGGATCGTGTCCTCAGGCAATCTCTTGAGATATAAAAGACAGAAGTGAGCAGTGAGACAGGGGGACCTCATACCATCAAGAAAGCAGTGCTGGGAGCAGAGCCTGTCCTTTGGACCAGGGTCCCTGCGCTGAGAAACTCCTAGTCCAGGGGAACATCGATGAGAAGGCCAAGAAAGAGAGAAAGCCTTCCCCTGAAGCTGACACCCTGAATTTGGACTTTCAGCCTACCTTACTGTGAAGAAATAAATTTCTCTTTGTTAAAGCCATCCACTTATGGTATTTCTGTTACAGCAGCGCTAGATGACTAAGACACCATCCCACAGGGATGACAAACTGCCAGCCCCATCACGGCTGCCAGGGAGGACACGGGGCCTTCCTTCCAGAAACCCACAATCCAGGTGCGGAGACGTGGCCCTGCCCTGAAAAGAACCTCAGAGCGTGCTGCTCGGGGAGGAGCCTGGCTCTTAGTTACGCAGAAGCTTGGGGACTGGTGGCTGAGGAGAGACCCTCCGAGATGGCCAGAAGGACACAGACAAGCAAGGGAAGAGGCAAGAAGGGGATGATGTGAGCCAAGGAGGAGAGGGTGATGTGGCCTGCCGCCGAGATGACTAGACTAGAGAGAGTGTGTGAGAATCAGCGGCCCTTCTGGGAGCCTGAGGTGGGAGGGAGTGAGGTCAAGGGGAGTTAGGGATGACCCAGGGGAGTTAGGGATGACCCAGCTTGCAGCATGAACCCTCTTGGACTTCAAAGAGCGCACCCATGATGGCTGGGGTGGGGACTCCTAACTGCCATGGTCTGAAGATCTGGGAATTTGGCACAAGCACCTGCTACTGGAACAGGCTCTGGGATTTGTGTCTGACCTGCCCACTATAAACCTCATAGCAATATTATATTCCATTTGACAGAGGAGGAAACCGAGGCTCAGAAGCTGGCCTTGCTACTTGACCTTCCTATTCAAAAGGGAGTAATGATGTCAGCTGGAGCCACGTTTCAACCCCAGGTCTATCTGCCTCCAAAGCCAGCAAAGGCTCTTTTTTTTTGCCAGACCACCTTCCTCTACCTGCTGTTCCTTATTCCACCTGCACAGGCCCAGAGTAGGCAGTTAATGAGGTGAAACGATTGTGGGATGGATGCTTGGAAACGTTCCTCTACCCACACATCATAGCATCCTAAAGCCCTGGAGTTCTTGAGGATCCATGGAATATAGCCCAGCAGAGCAGAGCTTCACCTGGCTGGAACTTCCCTGGCAAGAAGATCACATGGAGGGACCTCACTTGGCTAGACATCAATGAGAAGGACCTCACCTGACTAGACCTGCAGGATCTCACCCATCAGGAATATCACCTGGAGAGACCTCACTGGCGGGGACACCACCTGGTGGCATCTCACCTGGCAGGACCTCACTAGTGGAAACTCAGCTGGCAGGATCTCTCCTGGCTGCACCTTAGCTAGCTCTCACCTGGCAGGGCCTCACCTGGCTGGACCGCAGGCGCTTGCTCTCCAGCCCCGTCTTCTCCTGCATCAGGGCCTCCTTCTTGGCCAGGATGGCCTCCCGCTTGTGAAGCTCCTCCCCCAGCTCCTCCAGTGCCCGTCGCTGCTGCAGGACCTTCTCCATCTCCAGGTCCAGCCACTTCTTCTGCTCCTCGATCTTCTGAGGGAAGCGAGGAGGCAGGAGGGAACTCAGTTCTCACATCTGGCTCTTGGGCCAGCACCCAAGGTCCAATGCGGAGGAGGGTGTACCCGCCAGCTGCCCCCAGGGAACCCCGACAACCAGCTGTGCTGCCCAGCCAGGCTGCAGTGCTCTTGGGGTGCAGGTTCAGCCCAGCCTTCAGCCTGCCTCCCTCACCCCGGGTCCCACCTGCTGCTGCTCCAGGCTGACCACAGAGCCGTTGCTGCCGCTGCGCCGCTTCCTCTGGAACGCCACAATCTCCTCTGTCTTGATCTTCAGGATCTTTTGCTGCTGCTCGTGCTTCAGCTCCAGCTCCTGGGGAGGAAGCTCAGCAGGCAGGGCCGCAAATGGCGCCAGCACCTTACCAGAGCCCTGCCTGTGATCCCAAAGCCCGCAGGGGCGCCTGCCCCACTCCTGACAGCCCTGCAAAAAGCTCCCCAGCCTCATCCCCTCCCCACCCCCAGGGACAAGTAAACAGAAGCAAACACTTCCCTACCCCCTACAAGATGCCAGATGCCCTACATATTTCATCTCACTGAATTCTCACTCTAGGCTTCAGTTTCCTAGAACTCTCATCTTCAGATGAAAAAACAAACTCAGGCTAAGTTCACGTGGCTGTGAGTGGCGGGGCCAGGACTCCCAGACCGTGTTCCCCATGCAGCTGCGGGCCCAACCTTGACGCGGTGCTGCCGCTTGTTCATCTCCATCTCCAGGCGCCGCTTCTGCTCTGTCTCCTCACGCAGCCGCCTCTGCAGCTGGCCCTGCTGCTGCCGCATGAGCTGCACGTTCCTCTCCAGCTCCTGCAGCCGCTTTTCACTCTGGGCCGACAGCGACACTAGCCGCTCCGTTGCCTGCTTCTTCTCCTTCAGCACCTGGGACCAACACCACTTCCACTGGGCCACCAGGCTAGAGAGCCTGGCCGAGTGCCTGGCGCTCCACAGAGTGGATGAATGGACAGAGGGACAGACAGAAGGGAACGCAGGCGGGTGGCTGGGGGACTACTAACAATACTGTTAGCTAACCCTTGTAAGGCATTTTCCAGGCACTGTACTAAGTGCTTTGTGTGTATTAAATAATCCTAACAACCCTATGAGAAAGCATGATTATATTACCCCTATTTTACAGATTAGAAAACTGAGGCACAGAGAGAGAAGGGAAGGAGATCAAGGACAGCTAGTAAGTGGAGCTGGGATTCAAACCCAAGAAGCCTGGCTCCAGAGCCCGAGCTCTCACCTACTCTACTGCGTTGTCTCTTGGACACCTGAGCTGACAAAAGAGGAATGAATGATGGATGGACAGCTGCAGATATGATGGATGGAAGCATCAGTGGACAGAAGGGCAGAAGGATAGGATGATATAAAGGTGAAAAATAGGATGGACAGATAATGCAAGGCTTGACATAAAAGGTGGATGGACAGATGGGTAAATGGGCAGTTGGTCACATCAACTGATAAAGGATAAGCAGATGGTTAGATTGGATGGACACGTGGACTGACAGGTGGACAGACAGAGGGATGACAGAATGGAGGGGTGAGTGGATAGATGGAAGGGGTAGACAGATGGACAGAGGGAGGGGAAGGCTGCATGATATAGTGTGCATCTTCTTTAGGTGCCCACCCTCAACAGCGCCCCCTCTCCATCTATCTCCTCTGCGGTGTCTGAAGCTGAGCCAGCCCCCTATACTACTGGCCTCACCTTGGAAGCATGGAGGGAGTGAGCACCACCAGTCAGGGACTCGGGCACAAGGGCCTAAGCATGTCCTGATCCCAGGGCCCCCAGCCTGGGAGGCCCCAGTCGCTGCCCCGGGGCCCTGACACTGACCTGCACGTGGCTCTGGGCCGCGGCGACCCTCTTGCGGAACTCCTGGAGCCGAGACCGCTCGCCAGCGTCCTGCAGCTCCCTGCCCTCGAGCTCCTGCAGCTGCCTCTGGCCTTCGCTCAGTTCAGCCCGCACCCGCTCCGCCTCCTGCTCCAGCTCCCGGATGCGCTGGCTGTGCTGGCGGTTCAGGGCCTGGGCCGCCTTCCCTGGAAGTGGGGCCGCGTCAGCACGGGCCATTCCTCTCCCCCTTCATTACCCTGGAAGGCCTTGCAGACCTGTCAGCCACGGACCCCTGTGTGGGCTTTACCAAGCCTTTGTACCACCAGAACTGTGAATTACTTAACATTTTTCTTCCAATCAGCTCACTTTTTAAATTAGCCCCATCTTCAGCAGTGACACAAGGAAATTCCAGGTTAACCAGTTTTATTATTCCCTAATACACTTTAAAATAAATACGTAACTTGAACCTTTGTAATTAAGCCTCTAGAACTAACTTCCATTTTCATGAAATATGGGGGAGAAAGATATAAGTTAAATAACACCATAAGAAAGCAAACAGACAAACCCAGAACACTCTGACTTTGGAATATTCTACAGGACAACTGACTTGGTGAGAGAAGGGTGACTTCAGAGACCTAACAAGCAAATATAATGTGTGGGACAAGTTTGGAGTCTGATTCAAGCAAACCAGCTGTAAACAGACAATGCTGAATAATCAAGACTGTGCGTTCATGGCTGGGCATTAGGTGACATCCAAAGAATTATTACTACTAATTTTATCAGACATGTTAATGGCATTATGGTTAGGTAGAAAAGGTCCAATTTGTTAGAGAGGCATACTGAAAGGCATAGAGATGAAATGATGTGATGTCTGAGATTTGCAGAGAAAAAGGGAAGAGATGAAACAAATGTGGCAAAATACTGGTAACTGGTAATGGGTAGATGGGGCTGCATTGTACTATTCTCTCGTATGTGTATCTGAAATTTTTCATAATGAATTTTGTAATAAATTTATAACTATTAAAATAAAAGGGCTCAACTGGTCACCACATAAAATTGTCTCCCACCCCCTTCACCAGTCATAGACTACATGATCTGGACACTCGATCCTTGATCACACTCACTGTGTGCTCCGCACGACTGAGAGCCTGTGCCCAGCACAGCGCCTGATACACAGCAGGTACTTGATAAAAGTAATGCTTACAGAGAGCTATTCTAAGCGCTTAGCTTGAATTAACTCACTTCACCCTCACAACAACCCTATGAAGTAGGTACAACCACTATCCCCATTTTAGGGATGAGAAAAGTGAGGCACAGAGGGGTTATGCTACTTGTTCAAGGTCACACAGCTGGGAGAGGCTAAGCTGGGAATCCACCGCAGCCGTCTGGCTCAGGAGCCCCTGCTCTTTACCGCCACACTGACAAGCCCCCTCGAAAACAGCGTACAAGGAACAAATGGGAAATCGTGCCCAGGTGGAGGCCTGCCCAAATGCCCATTCCACACCTGTGCGGACCAGCTCTCCGATGAGCTCCTCCTTCATGCGGATGTTGATGGCCAGCTCCCGGATCTTCTGCTGGGCCTGGGCCAGCCGCCACTCAGAGGCTGTGGCAGCAGGGGCCTGGCGGGGCCGAGCAGGGGCCTTGCTCCCACCAACCACTGCAACAAGCAGACTGACAATGGAGGGAGGCCGGAGGGAAGGAAGGGAGAGGCATGCCCCAGGCAGGGGTGATGGATGGGCAGCTGCACTCGGGTAGTCAGTCCAGGACCATGGCAAGGAGAGGGGGCCCTCTCCACACCCCAACCAGCTCACCTCTGGGCCCTGGGATGGCTGCAACCAGCTCTTCAAGGCGAAGCTCTGGGCCCTTCCGGTCAGGTGGACTTCCTGGGTGGGCCCCCACCTTCCGGCTCCAGCTGCCGATCCCATTTCTGGAGGCAGAAGCAGGAGTCTGTACCCCTCCTCAGTCCCTGCCCCCACTTAGCCACCACCTCCCAGGCCGGGAGGGAGAAAGAGAGACCACCAGGCCATCTGCCCCCAGGGTCACGTGTAACCCAGGGTGCAAGTGTCACAGAACTCTAACACTAGGAGGCACCAGGCAACTGGGGGCACTGAGGGCCACCATGCAGACACCCACCCCAGTGAGCCCTCTTGGCTCAGGGCCCACAGCCCCACCCTCCTCTCCCCCAAGGGCCAGCTGGGACGCTGTAGGGAGGGTGCCCTGAGACCCAAGAGGCCTGGGCAAACAGTGTAAAAGACTCTGCTGTCTGGGGAGGAGACAGCAGGATCCCACCCAACCCAGGCCTGGTCCTCGGAAGTCTCGGGCCAGGGTCCCACTCACCTGCGCAGGTGCAGGGTCTGCCTGGGCGGCCCCTCCTCCTCGTCCTCCTCTGATGTAGTTGAAGAGCTGCTTCCCAGCCTGTCTACCTCCACCAGCAACTCAGTACCAGCTTCCTTTTCACCTGTCAGCTGCCGGGGGCGGGGGGGGTCAGGGCTTCACAGCAGGAACCTCAGGTGTCTTCACCAGTCCATTTCCCACCTCCAAGTCTTCCAGTGTACGGTATGCCTGCCTTGCATGCCCTCTCCACATCTCTGCCTCCTTAAGCCCTGTCTACCTTCAAGATCTAGCTCAATGACACCTCTGGGAAGCCTCTCCGCTTTCCAGCCAGAGGCAAGAGCTTCCTCCTCCACGCCAGCACCCACAGCACCTGGTACTCCTCAGATGACAATCGCCCTTTCTATCTTAAGTACAGGTTGTCCGCACCTAAGTCTTGTCTCGCCCAGAAGACAGCTGTACGGGTCGAGAAGACACATACATCCCCGCACAGCCAACAATACCTGCAGTGGCGGGTACATGGCAGGCCTCCGCGAACCCAAGTCCTCCCACTCTTCAGTCCCCTGGGCCTTTAGAGCTGAGAGGCCCAGAGCTCTCAGGCAGATGTGGGAGTAGCCGTGGTCCAAAAGGCCCCGTGTGGCAAAACCAGGGCAGGAGACCAGGGCTTAGAGAGACAGATTAAGGCTCCATGGAAAAGTGAACTTGCAGACAGCCATCCAAAGACAGAACGGGCTACCTCAGAGGTGGTGAGCTCTCCATCTCTGGAGGTGTGCAAACTTTCCATTCACTGCCAGAAGCTGTAACTTTCTCACTCCAAGCAATCACTAGCCATCCCAGGGATGCACCACCCAATGGCACCTGACCCCACTGAGAGGTCCCACAGCCACCCAAATCCCAGGCCCTCTTCTAGGGATACCTGAAAGAGCATCTCACTTCTCACAGCTGGCCCCACGCCCTAGCATCACTCGTCCCCTGCCTGGAGCCTGCCCAGTCCAGCAGGGCCCAGCAGACGCCCAGCCTCACCGACGTCTTACTTCTCACAGCTGGTCCCATGCCCCAGCATCACACGTCCCCTGCCCGGAGCCTGCCCAGTCCAGCAGGGCCCAGCAGACGCCCAGCCTCACCGACTCCTCACCTCTCCCCACTGCTCAGGACCAACTTCACCCCCTGGAAGGCAGGTAGGGGGCACCATGCCCAGCATATGGGTGTGAGCACCCCCCAAGGGGGCTGTGTGAGGCCGGGGCACAAAAGACCCAGGAGGCAGGCCCTGCAGAAGCCCTGGCGCCCCCCAGCCAGGCCGCACCAGCTCCAGCTGCAGCCGCAGCTCTGCCATCTCCTCCTGCTGCTCACGCAGGCGGTCGCTCTGCAAGACACGGTTTGGGCAGTGACAGGGGCATGGGGGTGGGGGCAGGGATGGTCACCAGCAGGCAGAAGTGAGGGAAGCTGGAGAATAAGTCTGAGGCCACCCTGCCTTCCCTGGGCTAAAACTCTCACACGCACAAGGCTTAACAGCTTATGAAGGGGGCACAGTCTGTATACCCATTTTACAGATGGGGAAGTGACACTAGAGGAATTGAGCACCCCAAGGTCACATAGCCAGTGTGGAGGGCTGGGCTATGAGAATTCCCAAGGTCTCTGGGTTCCAGGTCAGAGATGACCAGGGATGAAAAAGCCAAAATGCCTCCACCCTGACCACTGTACTCATTCAGGCTCAAGCTCTCACTCCACCCTGCCAAGGCCTCCTCATCACACCCCCTTCCTGCCACCCCTCCACTTCCAATCACTGACACCAGAGGGCGCCAGGAGCCATGCTGACCCTGTCACCATGGGCCAGGAGGAAGAGGGCCTGGCTGTGCATTTCCCATCCAGCTCACGATCGTCCAGCACAGCTGAGCTGCCCAGAAACCCACCCACACTGTTCCATTCCTCACCTCCACACTTCCGCTCATGCTGTGTCCTCCATCTCTACCCACCCTGCCAGTCAGCCTGGCTAACTCCGTCTCTTCCTCAGAGACTTAGACTTCATCTGCTCCAGGTGGACCCACCTGCAGTTTGTACTGCTCCATGGCGTCCTCCAATGCAGCCAGAAAGTCTCGGTTCTCCTCTTCCAGCCGGGCCACCTGGCTCTGCAGCGTCAGCAATTGCTGGGTCCCCTCATCTTCCTATGGGGCAGGGAGAAAGCTCTCAGGGCAGAGCTGGCAGGGTAAGCCTGCCTCTCCCTGGGACATCTTGGCCCACTCCCTGCCCTGCCACCAGCTCCCCTATCCCTGCTGCCTGTTCTGTCCCAAGCCCTGCCTGCAATGGCAACCCAGACCCCACCTAGCCTAGGGTCTCCTCTGCAAGCCATTTGGGCCACTTCTAGTAATTAATTATATTTTTATGTATAATAATGTCACCACTGTTTTAGGAACAATTTACAAAGCTTCATCGGCATTCTGGGTGCGCTCCTGTTCCACATTCAGCCCTCACCACTCCCCGGGAGGTAAGTACAAACGTCATCCCTATCTTACAGATGGAGACCCTGCGGCCAGGTGAGGTTAAGAAAAGTGTGACTAAGGTCATCAGCAGAAGTGAATGAACTCTGAACGAGCTCTGCTAATAGGTGGCCCCTCTCCCTTTTCCCTCCTTCTCAGGGGGTAGGGTCCGCCTGGCCCTTGGCCACCTTTCGCCCGCGCAGGGTGGCCTGATCCTCGGCGGAGGTGCTCTCGATGCCGCTGTCAGGCCCAGAGGCGGAGCTCAGGGCGCTGCGCTCGCCCTCGATTGCGCACAACCAGTCGCGCACCTTGCGCGCAGCGGCGCCGGGCAGCCCGGGCTCAGCCTGCAGCTCGCGCAGAAGGCTGCAGGCGGCGTCGGTGCGAGCCCGGCAGCGCGCGCACTCGGCGTCCAGGCGAGTGGTGGCGGTGTGAGCGCCTGCGGGGGCCCGGGCGCGCCGGCCGCGGTGGATGATGCGCGTCTCTGAGCGGTGGCGCGGCGGCCCCCGCGCCCTAGCCACCTCCTCGAGCGCCCGCTCGGCCTCAGGCCGCCAGTTGATCATGGCATGGTTTCGGATGTTCTGAGCGCGGCTGGCATAGTTGAGGGTGTTGAGTGTCTCGTCGAAGTCAGAGGAGGATGGGCTGACGCAGGCGACCATCACAGTCTTGGCATTCCCCCCGAGGGAGTCTTTGAGGATCCTGAGGGTGATGAGGACGAGGGGCGTCAGGGACCCGAACGCACCAAGCCTAGGGCCAGCCGTCCAGGCCTCGGAATCGGGCTTGATCCTCGGCTTGGTTCCCAGTGGGCTGAGACCTGTGAGGGCCTCGGACTGTCGGCCGGCGCCCCCAGAAGTCAGTGAGGGCCCCTACACCAGAGCCCAGATAGGCTCCATGTCAGAAAAGGGCGGCTCACCGGGTGATCTTGGAGTCGCGGTAGGGAATGTGGCTACCGCGGCGCTGGGAGTCACCCAGGGCGCTGATGACGTTGCCCAGCGCCAGGAGGCTGCTGTTGATCTGGATGCTCTCCTTCAGCCGCTCGCCTGTGCTGCCTGTCTTCAGCACCCTCTCGGAGCCCGCCAGGTCCACAAAGTGGAACTTGGAGACAAGCAGCTGGCCGGCAGCGGGTCTGGGCAGGCGGCTGGGGGCGCGCCCCCGCTGCTCCAGGGTCACCGTAAAGACCGTGTGGGAGCGGCTGGAGAGTCGGTTGAGGTGTGTGGCCCCCGTGTGCCGCGCTGCGTTGCCCATCTCCAGGAGGCTCAGCACCTCGTCAAGGCCCTCCACATCCACCTCCTTCACCCCACACAGCACTGCAGGCACAGCTGGCTGTGAGACCCAGGGCAGCGGCAGCCCTTGGCTGACCAGGCAGGGAGGGCAGGCAGGTGGGACTAGCCCTCTACTTGCTCTTCCTGACCCAGATGCCCCCTCCCCAGGCCCAGGGTGTCCTTCCCAGCCTGATTTAGGCTTGAGGGGCTCCAGCTTCCCCCATGCCCACCTCAATGCCTCTCACTCAGGGAGCAGAAGTATGTACAGAACTCTTGGAGACAGGGGAAACAAGGGGTTTCCAGGACAAGAGGTGCCCCTCCCAGACAGGTAAGCCCCCTCTCAGAGAAGGCAAAGCCTCCCCATGCCAGGTGCCCCACTCCAGCCCTACTCGGGGCGGGGTGGGGGGGTCCTACCGACATTCCCTCGGTCGTCTTCCCGAAGCTGGATGTCACGGCTGGCGGTGCCCACCTCAAGCAGGTCTCGGAACTCCTCCTTGTACACTTCAAGGTAGGACACGTGCACCAGACAGTCAAGCAGGTCGTTCTCATCGATAAGCTTGAAGGCCTCAGCCATGGCCCGCGGGATGATGCCCTGCTCATCCTCATGGAGGGAGGCTGGGGAGACACCGCACGGCATTGCCACCTTGCCTGCAGCTGGACACAGCTGGAGGGTAGGACTCCAGTGTGGAAAAGGCAGCAGCAGAGGCCAGGATGGGTGGGGCAGCCTGAGCCAGGCCATGCTCCGGGATGGCCAGGGGTCAGGCCAGGCAGAATTATACAATTTCCAAGTTGGAAGCAACCTCGCATGGTTCAACCAACCCCTTTCATGATGCAAGCATCCCCTCCACTACATCCCCAAGAAAAGATCAGACACTGCTGGCTTGAACGCTCTGGGGACAGGGACTTCATTAGCACTGACCGTACTCAGGTATCTAAAGGCCCTCTTAAATTTATCCCAAAGAAGTAGTGAGAGGATGTTCAGAGCAGCACTCTACGTAACTTCAAAAAAATGCATCCTAAGATGCAATAGGACATCTGGTTAAATTATATTCACAGTGGAATGGTAGGCAGCCAAGCCAAAATTAGATTGAAGAGTATTTAACTATATAGAGAAATGTTCATGATAATATTCATAAGTTCATGAAGCAGGATACAGTATAAGCCCATTCTTGAAAAGTATACTAATTTTCACAGAGGAAGAAACCAAAAGCTAACAGGGTGAGTGATCTCTGAAAGGTGGTTTCAAGTAGGTTTTATTTTGTGCTTTTTCTGTATTTTCCTAATTTTCTATCACAAACATATGCTTTCGTAAGCTAAGAGAAAGCTTAAAAGGGGCAGTCCTTTCAATAGGCCCAGAATGCCTCTCCTAAAACTCCCCTATAGAGTCTCACCGAACCTGCCTACTCTCTGTAGCCAAACCCCCTCTCTGCCAGGACAAACAGTCCCCATTCCCAACTGCCCAACTAGAACATGGATTCCTGATCTTTGGCAGCTATTCTGGTGACCTCCAAAGACATGCCAATTTCCGGTTGGTTCCCAGAACCAGGCAGTGTGGCCCCATCTCTATGGAGTTAAGAAGGCCACTCACCTCCAAGCATGGGCAGACTATCCAGTAAGCAAGGTACACATGAGCTTAATCGCGTTTACTTTACTAATCTGTAGTGCACAATTTCACGTGGGTTTCACCATTTATCTCTGATGTCACTGGTAGTGGGTAGCACCTTGCTTATTGGGTAATCCATCCCTCCCTACAAGAATCCTTCTTTCCAGCGGGGCACCTAAGGCTGGTTCCTGCCCTGCCCAGCCCACTAACATGACTGGTCCCACCCCGGGCTGCAGATGGCTGTATACACACCCTGCTCGGCCTCCCCCAGTACCCCTTACCTTCAACAGCATATAGCAGCAAGGGGGCAGGGACAGAAATTCAGGAGGGTCACTCACCCACACTGGCCTCACCCATGGTGTACGTCTTCCCAGATCCCGTCTGACCATAGGCAAAGACAGTGGCGTTGAAGCCCTCAAAGAAAGCCTCGAGGAGGGGCTGCACGCAGGCCTGGTACACAGCCTCCTGCCCGGCATCCTCGGCCAGCACCACATGGAAACCAAAATGGCGGTCACGGCCCAGAGTGACGCGGCCGCAGCCTGGCTCCACCCGCAGGCAGCTCTGGTGCCCGTGCAGCAGCTCCTTGGGCAGCAGCGGGCGGACTCGTAGGGCCACTCTCACTGGGACCTCCTCTGCCGCTGGCAGCCTCTGGGCCTCCAACCCCATGTTGAGAGGGTGCTGCTCCAGGCCCTGCTGAGAGAAGTCCCTGCCATTAGCACCTGAACTCTAGAGTTGGACGCACCCTGCAGCTTCTGACCTTGGAGGGATGGAGGGGAGGGTGGTCAAAGTTCAGAACATCCCCCCGACACAGGCTTCAGGGAACACACTACAATCCCACAGGGTAATGTTTCATGGCTCAGATCACTGGCAAAATAAGGCCCAAACTCCTCACACCCAAGGGCTTCTGTGTTTCACCTGCACCCCCTCCTGTAACCCCATTTCCTAGAAGAACCCACACACACAAACACACACACACACACACACCACTCCAGGGAACTCCTTTCCGTAAAACCCTCCTGGATGTTCCATAGTCTCTCTGCCTTTGTCATACCACCCCACCCCCTTCTTAAAAAAAAAGAAAATCAAGACCAAACTCCAACCACCAAATCCTGCAATTCCAGCCCCTAAGTATCTCTCCAGTCCACCTCCTTCTCCCATCCTATTGCCAAAGCCCTGGCCCTGGGCACGGGCATCTTGACAGGATGGTTTTTACCAGCCTTCTCTCTGATCTCAGTTTTCCTGTCCCCTCCAACACGGCAGCCAGGGGCATCTTTCAAAAAAGCAAATGAGATGTTACTCCCAACTCCAAAGGCTCCCCACTACCCTTGGGATTCAAAACCTTAACAGGCCCTGCCTACCTTGCCACCTCACCTCGTCCTGACACCCCAGGTCCTTCCTCACCCGTCTCTGCCTGCAACAAGCTCTCTGTGGCCAAAGGCGCCTCACCCCTGCAGGCTGAGGTTGGACATACCTTCTTCAAGGAGCAAGGGAGCTCAGCTCCCAGCCCCTCCCGCTCTGCCTAGCCCCTCCCCATCAGCCACTGCCCACTCTCTGGTGCTATTCCCAGGTTACCTGTTTGTCTCCCCCCACCGTCCAGACGGGGAGCTCCAGGGCAGGGGCTCTCTTTTTCCCCTTGTACTGTATCTCCAGAGCATAACACAAGGTCACACGCTTAGTAGCTGCCCAATAAATAAGTGTTGAAGCCCTGGTGGAGCATTGGTTTAAGCGTTTGGCTGCTAATCAAAAGGTCTGAAGTTCGAATCCAGCGGCTCCTTGGAAACCCTATGGGGCAGTTTTACTCTATCCTGTAGGGTCACTACGAGTCGAAATCCACTCGACTGCAACAAGTGTATGTGGGTTGTGTAATCCTCATCCAAGGAGCCTTCCCCAAACTCCCTTCTCTTATCGCTTTCCTCACCCCACCCCCCAGGCCCACAGCACTTTATTTTCTACTGTTCAACCTCTCAGCACACGTAACGGGTTCGTTCGTTCATTAAATCATTCATTCAGTCCCTGCTGGGTGTCCCGCCCTGGAGCCATGGAGGTAACTCGGCCGAGCAGTACGGTGGGAGCCTTCGCGCACCCTCAACCCTAGTCCGTGAGCTTCCCGAGTTCCGCTCGGCGATCACTTCACCGCGCCCCCGCTCCCGGTAGACTGCTCCGCACACCGACTGCGGGCAGACAACTCCACAGGTGCAGTCGGGAGCCAGAAGGAGCGAGAGTCGGGGATCGAGGGCCAGACGCTGTGGGCCCGGGGCAGGGAAACCCGGGAAGTTTGGAGAAGTGATTATAAATGGGGGCCCGGCCCTTGCAGCTTCGCGCTCGCTCGTACTGGCCAGGCCCGGGACGCTGGACTCAGCTCTCCGACTTAGGGAAGGAGGGGCGCCGCCGCGCAAGGAGGGGCCTCCGGAAGGCCAGCAGGCCAAGGGTGAGGGGCTCCTCGTGCAGGGTCAGAGCTCCCCAGGAGCCACGGCTCCCGGTGCCACCCGGCCGACGGCTGCGCAGGGAGGGGGCGAGCGCGCCTCCCCCGATCCCACCCGGGTCCTCGCCCTCCACCCCTTCCGGGCAGCACCCACCTCCTTGAGTACGGGTGCACTCCCCGAGTCCTGCAGTCAGGCTCGGATCCCCAGCTCGGCGCGCTCCGATGGCGTCATCGGGACCCCCGGCCCCCCCAAAACATCCCGCCCCTCATCCTCAACTCCTCCCGCCTCGGCGCTCCAACGCGGAGGCTCAAGCCTGGCGGCGCCGCGCAGTCGGTCCGCAGACGAGGCGGGGCGGGGCGGGGCCTTGGTTGGGGCGGGGCCACCACGTCCGCCTTTGCTCCGCGCCCCCCTGGGTCTCAGCCGCCGCGCACTGATCCCAGCGCTGACGCCGGCAAAGTTCTGAGAATAGAGAGACCCACGAGGCCAGCCTGGTTTTCCAAGCTGGAGAATCCCACCTTCTATGCGGCGGGGCATCTAAGTCTTACAATGACAAGCTGTAACAAGTGAGAAGATGAAGACTAACTAGGGGCTTTTCCCTGCCCTGCGACAGGAGAGTGGATAGCAGTGGACTAAAGCTACTATTCGTTGGTTCATTCATTCTTCGTTCAAGGCTAGACGCCCCCCAGCCCCCTTTGCTGCCCCTCTACCGCACTCCCTACGCTCTCTCAAAGCACAGCTAAACTCTCCCTCCCCTTCTTCTCCTCCTTTTCTGTCTGATTTCACCATCCCTCACCAGCTGCTCCTTGGGAGCCCCATGGGGCACTTCTACTCTGTCCTTCAGGGTCGCTATGAGTCGGAATTGACTCTACGGCAGCGGGTTTTAAGGCTGAAAAGAACCCTCTTGGCGCAATGGTTAAAGCGATCGACTGCTAACTGAAAGGTCGGCAGTTCAAAACCACTGCCTCTCCGCGGAAGAAAGATGTGGGAGTCGGCTTCCATAGAGATTTACAGCTTTGGAAACCCTGTGGGGTCGGCAGTGGGTTTGATTTTTGGTTTGGTTTGGTTTGGTTTAAGGCTGAGGAGGACTCATCCCCCGTGAGATCTTATCACTCCGCTGGGTGGGTGGGTGAGTGGGTGTGTGTGTGTTCGCGCGCGCGCACATGAGGACCTGGCTGCACCCCTTGCATTTACACAGGAAGAGTCATGACTGTGCCCCCCTTTACCGGCCAGACCCTGGGTGACCCAGGTGGCTGGATGGCCTTCCAGAATGTCAGCAAGGGAGCAGGAGGGCATCTGCCCTGGAGCGCCTCACCAAGAGCAGGCTCCACAAGGCCTGGCCCCACACCTCTGGCTTGGAAGCCCCAGTTTGGAATGGGCATGGGTTTCGTTGGTGGGCTCCACTCCCCCCGGCCTTGAGTTCCTGGATGGACAACTGCCCCATCCATTGAGAAGTGGGGTTTGCTGTAAAGTTCTTAGCCAACCTCTTCGGAAGGGGAGATTATTCTGTGGGCAAATGGGCAGTGGGAAATTTGCAGAGGTGTTTATCCTACATCTACCTGGGCAGGTGCTGCACTGGGGATCGCCCCCATACAGCTTCTCTTCCTGTTTGCCCTCACTATCGATCCCATCCCTCAGGCCATCTTTTATCCTTCCTTCTTGTCTTCCATCAGCCACCAAGCCCCGATTTCTCTTCGGTAGTTTTCAGTCCAGACAAATCTCTTTGTGCTCCACAATCGTGCCAGCCCAAGTCAACATTATCCCTCACCTGGACCTCTGCAGAGCCTTTTCACTGGTCTCCCTCTACTGCCCCTGGGTGTGGGACAAAACTCTATTTGGCCTTTTGTCTCTGGTTTCTGAAAACAGCCCTTGGAGTTCTCCAGCAATCCAAAGTGTTGTTTTTTTTTTTCCTCCCTAAAACAGCCAGGCAACATTTAAACGTGTGCAAATGAGGTGGGAGCCCAGGCACTACATCTGGCTAATGAACTAACTTCAGGAAAAATGGGAGGGGACACGAAGGAATCAGTCATGCATATTCAGTGATTCAATCAATCATTGACTATGCATTAAGGCCTCAGTCATGCATATACATTTGTTGTTGTTGGGTGCAGTCAGTAGATTTCTACTTATAGCAGCCCCGTGTGACAGAGCAGAACTGCCGCATAGGGTTTTCTAGGCTGTAATCTCTATGGGAGTAGATCACTAGGTCTTTCTCACATGGAGCCACTAGGTGGGTTCAAACCACCAACCTTTCGGTTAGCAGACCTTGGAGATTCTCTTTGAGCTTCTGGATTGATGATGTACATGGGAGAACCAGCACATCTCTGGGAACTTGAAGCTCTGTGCTGAAAACGCTTCCCAGACCTCACTTGTGCATCTCTTCACCTATATCCTTTTGTAATTATATTAAAAAGGTTATACTGTACTGAGTATAGCCCTTTCTGTGAGTTCTGTGAGTTATCAAATCCATCAAGGGCGGTGAGGGCCAGTAGTGCCTGGTGTCTGCCTATTTGGCAGGTGATTAGAAGGACAGAGTGAGGACCCAGCTTGGCTGGTGGATAGTAGAGGGCTATGCAGGAAGTCATTTTGTAAAGACCTAACTCTGGGTGGTTAGGGTCAGACAGAGTTAAAATGTCACGTGGGTGGCTGGTGTCAGATATGGAAAGTGGAAAAGTGGGGATGTGAATTACCTTAGCATTTTGGGAATTAGCCTTTTGTCAATTATTATTTATACACTCTGTAAATACCTGCCAATTAAAAAAATTTAAAGAGCAGAGAAGTACAGAAGGAGCAGGTAAGCACAATGTTTTGGAGGGTACCTTTCTAACTATTATTCTCTGTGATATATGTAAGCCTATACATGTATATATTATACACATGTAAAGTATACATATTCTGTTTACTTGTTCATTTCAACTGTGAGGTCCTTGAAGAATGGGTACTGAGCATATCTTATTTATCTCTATGTCTCTTGTGTCCTTGGCCCAAGACCTGGCACAGTGACTCCATAGGGGCTCTTGGTAAATGTTATTGAAGAAAAGTAGGAAAAGCTCTCCTTGCATTCACAGAAATATAGGTCACTGTGGCATATACAGGAGTCTCTAGGTGGCACAAATGATTAAGTGCTCTACTACTAGCCAAAAGGTTGGTGGTTTGAACCCACCCAGAGGCACCCTGGAAGACAGGCCTGGAGATCTGCTTCTGAAAAGTCACAGCCTTGAAAACCCTATGGAGCAGTCCTACTCT